TCTTGTAAAGGGATTTTGTAAAGGAGCTAAGCGTCCCGCTGTCCGAATTATTAATGAGATACGGCATTGTCGTACGAATTCGAGTGTCATATTTGTACCACTAATCGTTCGAAATTGTCGTGCTTTCTTAGAAAAATCGTGCTGAATCGTAACCACTTTGCTATTAGGGTGCTAGCAGAACAACTTCCAGATAAATTACAGAAAGTGCTTTCTCGGGCAGAAAAAATAATAAGCCAACATACTTGTTTTCGGAAAATTTGTTTTATCCTTTTGTAAATTGCAGCAGCTTCAAAAATTACGAAATAATAGATAATATATACGTCTGACTAAGACAAGCTGAATGAAACCACACAGTCCTCCCTCATAAGCATTAGGTTTAAATAACCTAATATATAATTAGCACCCCTACTCGGAGAAGGTGTGTGGGGCGCGCGCAAATTCTTATAATTGGCGTTGCGCCCACTCTCTTTGTACGATGTAGGGATGGCTCTCCCTGCTTTTATAAAAGATGGCGTGGACTTTTCTATTAGCGGTGTTGGTGGTTGTCAGTGCCTCCACTACCTTTCACTCCGCCAGAAGTTTCTTGAAACGGTGTTCTACTGTATCTTGTCACTCTGCGGCATATTTTGGGCCTTACCCAGACTGAACTTGCCTTTTAACCCATCGCTTGCCTCCGGAAATCTACAAACCAGAAGTCTTCTTCTATGTATGCACTGCATTGTTTTCGGCATTGAGATGGGCTTCAAGTTTGCTACTTCGTCTTTCATATGGATCTTGAATCCGTGTCACTTACTTACAATTATCCAGGTAAACGGGACGAAGTAAAAGTTTTGCTGCTTAATCTCCTTTCGCGTATCTTGGTTTTCTTTTCAGATATCTTTGTTTTGTTACTGTCTTCGGTTTAATTAAACTCTTGGGAGTTTCTCGGCTTTCATGAAATCGGGTCGTTTACGCTTCATTTTGTAAGCTGCTCGGACCCCCGATTTGTAACATCCACTCATTGTTCGCGGGCGACGTTTATTTCTTAATACGATGTTCCTTAGCTATTGGAGCGTGTTA